TGCAATTGCTCGCAAATTGTTCTCTCCGAGATATGGAGTTTTTCTATATTTTCCACCTAATACTTTCTTCATTGTATCCACTGGTTGTATCTATTGGTCAGTCTCGTGAGGCTGTTGGCATACCGGTGTTCTCTTTTTAGTATATAAGTGGGAAAGGTTCCATTGAAAGGCGCCTTTTAACACTTTAGCTTTAAAACCGAGCTTTCGACCCTTATTAGATCAAGGTTTCCAAGGAAATAGAACAAAACTTTCACAAGAAATGGTAAATTTCGTTGATAAGCCGGAACTCACTCGAATGCCGATGCGAGAATGACGATTACTTTTCTCGCATTTGGTCGATGGTTGTCACTGTCGAAGTTGGCTGTTGCCAGACGAATGGCACTGCAAATATGAGTGATCATAATTCTCCAATGATCACAATATCGGTTTATTGTTAACGTCGGTTTCGTAGAACTCACGCTTCAATATTTGTTCCAACTGAGCCGTGGTATCTGAGGTCCAAGTTGTTCAGCAGATCGTTTGTAGATTGCCAATAGCTCAGATTGTGATGCATTTGGGCATCAGTCCCATATGTAATGAATCTGAAGTATCGCTAATTCGACATACGCACAACACGTACCAATGGTAGTACTCAAAATCTCCTTGTTTCTTCGGCTATATCCCCTTAGAAATCGCTTGGATTCCTATTTATTTCGTTAAACCCAGTGAAGAACATGGATAGCACTTAATCCAAAAAAGAAGGCCTTGTCGTTGTAGTCTATCCCTTTCACAAGTACTCAGCCATTATTGCGATTCGTGAAGGATCCTGGCGTCCCCAGTCGAAGAGTTTGTACATTGTAGAGCGGTATCCGGAACCCCGCGCTCCGTCAGCAGTAAGTATTTGTCGCATACGACAAGGACAGAATCTGATTTTGCCATAAGTGCGTAGTAGTGAGTGGATTTCGCAAAGAAAAATTTTGATGAGAAGTTGTTGTCCGTCTTTTTGAATAAGTGAAGTTGTTGAGCTCAAATATAAGGAAGGACAAAGTTTGGATGTACGTTTGTAGGAGTACAGCCCTTCTTCTTTTACCGCATCTATTAAATCAGTTTTTTTACAAAATACTCACCCTACACGTGACTGCCGACCCATTGCTTGTCCCACGGTCATTCGGTATAGAGCGGATTCGACAAAAGCCATTGCCTGAATCACTTAAAGTTCATAACAAGCTTATTCATTTGATTTTCTATTCTCGAAAACAAAATGCTCTTGAAAAACTCTCGGACCGCGTTCAGACAGCCATCCGCTAAACGCGGAGCTCATGAGGGGCTGTGATACTTTTCAGACTATGGGAAAATTTAGCCTTTGAGTATTAGTAGGAGACCTACGCAGGCGAGGGATAAGTGAGGGAAGACTTCGTTATCATACAGGCTGGACGACCTCTATCTTCCTTATCATATGCTTACCTTACAAGTGTACCGATACTGAAAAAGAATGAATTGAAACTGACGCAATCGAAACCGCTACTTGTCATCGCTGACGAAGAGTCGATAACAAAGAAAATATCAAGCCAAATATTCGATGGGTCGCACGGGCACTCATCAGATAGTGGCTCGATGGGTGGGCCTTGCACAGGCTCCTGAAAAGGGTTTCATTAAATTACGAGGCATTTTTCCCTTAGCTTCCAGGCAGGTTGGACGCTTGATTAGCAGTGGAAACCATCTGATTGAACGAAATGATTCTATGAATTGATAGCATGAATGGTGTGAGATCTTTGGAAAGATGCCATCATGCTAACTCCCGAAATATAATAGCTCAAAAAATATTTTGCGCGTCATGTTTTCATAACTTTTGCTTCTTAGTATGGGATTTTTCGAAGTTATCATCACTGCACAAGTACATTTACTTACTTTTTATATGTTCACGTTTATTGCAACAAAAGGCGGCCAAGTTCCCAGTGCGAAACTCCACCCCTAATAATTCCGAACCTTCCTTCTGGTGGTTTGATGCTGGCTAATTGGGTCCTCTAGCGACTTATTAAGAATCTTATACAAGTGATAGGTATAAGGGGTGAGGTTGTGAGAAATAGTAACTGCATGTTAGATCATTCCTATCAAAGCCTATAAATTAAACAAGAGAGAAGTGACGGATTCCAAAGGCGGACAATTGAGATGCAAGCTGCAGTTCCCCACTGTTTATAGGAGCATTTCTATAATTCTATCCTGCGCGACGGAATCGCTTTGTGAGAAACGTTTAGTTGTACGAGACGCTCTTCAAGGTTGTTGCCACACATTCAAATAACTGTTTTCAAAGTAAAGAGCAGATCCCATTTGGGGGTGAAAGTGTAGCAACAGCTATGCACAGGGTCCGCTCGACTTATTGTTAGAACCACAGAGCGTGTGTACTAGTGGTGGGTTCTTTACCATTCGGGTATTTTAAGCCCATCAATCTTGTTAAAACCATAAAACTCCTACTCGTGTTAAACATACATTACATCTATTTTTGGTACGAGAAGGTGACGGATGGCTTGAATGGCGAGGCGTACAGTACCGAAGGTTACCAACCTTTTTGATAATTTCGTTTGCTTTTAAGCTGTGTCATCAGAACAACTGCTCTTTAATGTCTAGTTCCATTTGAAATACTCATGTTATTATAAACTGTCGTACCACTTCCATCATGATTTGTCCGCTAGCCATTTGAGAAGCAGGAGTCGTGGTGTTTGTGAAAAATATCCCATCTATAATATTGCCGACGACGGTGCCATCTTGAGCATTAACGCCGAGTGATCCTTAAAAACTGAAAGCTGATGTCCTCTCCTTTAGCTTTTAAATATAAAAGCATTTTCTTGACAGAAGCAGCCAATTTTGTTGGCCTATAGCAAGAGTCGAATATAGAAATAGATTCTTGACTGTTAAGGAATAAGACACGCAGAAGACACTGTAGCGCCAACATAGCGCAGAAATGGGGCACATCACACCAGCATCTTTTGGTTAATATTTTAAAAATCACGAAATGTTGTGACACGAACCTGCTAGAAGCAGCAACAAAGTACAGAGGTACTGCATGAGGAATCTTCTGTTTATAAAAATGATAAAGGTGGTCTCATACCAAGCATATATATCATTTAGGAGACTGTGGGATTATTTAAATTCATGCAAATTGATTTGATCAAAAATCTGTCGTTTACAGCCAAGAGAGAGATTTGGGGGGAGTGTTTGCGAAGCAGTTTTCCAACAAAATTCCTTTAGACACTTTATTAGCTTTTTCACAGAATTATTGCTATAGCCAATGAACATACTGTGTTTTACGATATTCGATTTAAATCGTTATTGGCCATAATTTGGCCACAAAGTCGGGGAAAAGTGATATACGCCAAGGTTATGGCATGGAATTGGAATTGGATATGGGTGCAAAATATAGCCCCTCAGGGAAACTTTACCAAAGTTGAGTTACCGCTTTTCCTTCTAACAAAACTTTCTCTATTTCAGCTCAAAAAGCTGTTACGTGACTCTGCGGTCCTCGAACGGCATCTGGGCCAGACCACACGAACACGTGAGCCGACTTAAGGAACCCCTGTGATTGCTGGTACAGTGCCCATGAAGGTTGATGTACGTGAAAGCTTGATGGCGTTAATTCTAAAGAGCCTAAATCTTTCTGTTTTATGGTCTTTCTGATTAGAGTTTGGCCTAAGCTCGAGAATCGGCATCTTCGTGAGGTTCTAAATGAGGAAGGTACATCCAGGGCTCTCATATCAACAATGACCAAAATTAAGGATGACCAAACTCGGCTGTATTTTCAACATGGAACCATGGTACGGAATGGTGGTTGGATTCTTATCCCGGTTGAGACGAAGGTATCATTTCCGTCAAACGACTATCGAAGTTATTTTCACAATAACGGAGCTATGACACGGTGAGGTTCATTTCGAAGGACTCGCTATTAACATTTTAGAATCTGGCATAGAAATAGATCACTAACAATGGTGAGTTGCGGGATTTTGTCTTCTGAAGCTTCAGATGGTGTTTACCGGATTCGAATCAGCTTTCGTTCCCTTTATTTGACGAAGAACTCAAGCTTACATACTGAATAAGTACCGAACTGATTGGCTGCTTTCATAGTCCGCCGGCGTGCGGGCGTGCCATCCGAGGTAGCGCTAGGGGGAGGAGAGGGGCAGACGG